CTTTCACTTCCAGAGACAGTTGTAAGCACTGTGTAACTGCCTCGAGGGTGCTTGACCATTTTAACACAACGTGGTGTGATCATCCCCCTTGCGCGGAGCGAGGTGTCCACGTTGCTGTCTGGTGTCATCATCACCCAGGTTACGCCGTGCTCATGTGTCCGGCTACATCTGATGAACGTTGGGGAATATTTCTTACTGAAGTGCTCCAAGACCAGCAGGGCGGTAGCGTTCCTGTGGAGGATATGGCTCATGAGCCGATGGGGTTTTGAAGCGGCACATTCAAGGTTGCGCTGCAACGATGGGCGACGGTGGACAAGGAAGGCTACACAATGGTGAATGCGTTAGAGCGGTTGGAGTATTTGCTTTGGGATGGCGTGCATGAAGTTCTTCACAGACCACCGTAGGCTCGTTTACATCTTTGATTCGGAGGCTTGCGTGTCTTCCGTAGCGAAAACAACGGCTCAGCGCCTCGACCAGTCCAAAGCTGCCCGGGGGGAGCCAAAACGACTACACCATCAGGCACATTTCGGGTGAGCGCGATTGCTGGCGGGACCTTTTGTCATGGTAGGTCTATGTGATGTCAATAAGTGTTGTCCTGCCGCGATTTGGGCCCTCTCAAACCTGATGCCACAATGCCGTCCAAGCTAGCCGCGTGATACACAACAAACGGAGCAGAGTGGGCTCTGCGCGCTTGCAGGACCTGCCACGTCATTCTCGACGGCGGTGGGGACGGCCAATCTGGATAGCGAGGGGCTGATTCGCGTAGGCATGAACGGACGTGACGTGCTTTGGATTTCAGGTCAGGAAGGTACTTTGCAGGTGCGACTGATGGTTTGTGCACATGTGAAAGAAGCTGGGCATCGTGGTGTCATCGCCACCTTGCAGCGGTTGTTCGATTACTATTGTTGGTTTCGGATGGAAGAGCAATTTACCGACTTCGTCAAGCAGGGTCTGCATTGTATGGACTCCAAAGCGGGATATAATTGCCTTGCCGGCTTGGGCAGACCGTCCGCGGCACGCGATCTGGCAAAGTTGTTCATTTTGACTACCTCTACGTGGGAGCGAGTGGCCCGCTGAGTGAAGATGAATATTTTAGTCATGATGGACGACATGTCGAACTGAGTTTGGCTGCTGCGCACAGGGGCATGCACAGCCCGCCGTATGACATCGTGTTGGTGGTACTATTTCTCAGCGGGTTGAAATCGTTTTGATTCTTGTGAGATTGGCTCGTGCAGCGATCGTGTGGATCGCCTTGCAACGGTTTTCAGCGTCTTTTCGGGGTTTGTTGTTCCTTTCGTCCATTTCGCATTACTTGCGTGCGGTGTCGTCCTTCCACTGGGGAAGTTTTTTTCTTTTTGTGAGGGGGTGGTCGTGTGTCACTTGCGTGTTGTAGTATTTGTGGTGTCGCGTGCCTTTCACTGTCGAATGCGGACATTCTACGCTTTGTATGGTAGGTTGAACACATGTGCTGACTAAGGAACTGGACCGGCAGTCCGGCATGATACCGCCGTGCATGGGTGTTTATCATTCACAAACACCGCTGTCGATTATCTTGAGTAAGCTATCAGGTGTCTATCTGAAATCAAGCGGATTATTGTCTACTCCGGTAGTAGTACGCTTTGGGGGCATCGTGGACGCAGCGCACCTAGGTAGCAGTAGTTAACGATGTGAAGCAGCCCTTCGGATATCTGCTTGTCTCAGATAGGGTAGGTTAGGGTTTCTACTGTCGGGTCGGTATGTTGGCAGGAAAGAGAGATATACATAGGTGAAGAGTGAGAGAGAGACTCGAGCGAAATAATGCACTCTGTTAAAATTCACCAAGGAGGTGAATCGACCAGCCGGACATCTGGTTGTCTAAGATAGGGCAGGTTGAGGTTCCTGCTTTCGGGTCGGCATGTTGGCAGAAAGGAGAGATATACATAGATGAAGAGCGAGAGAGACTCGAGCGAAATAATACACTCTGTTAATGTGTACCAAGGACGTGAATCGACCAGCCCCCCCAGGTCACGGGGTAAGGATTGGTCGTAGCTAGACGCTTGCCTGATTATAGGCGTGTCTACAAGCGTGCGCGCAATTATAGATGATAAGGGTGTTTATGGAATGTTTCATTGCTGAACAACATTCCATAGTTTTTCAAGTTGAGGTTTATGTGAGGTTTCCGTCAGCTTTTGTGTAAAAGGCGGTTGGTGGTTATGCTTGTTTTTGCTCAAACAATTTGACCGTTCATGGCAAGTTGTCATGCCATGCTATTAGCTCCTTTTCTGTGCTTCGCCATCAAGTCAGAGCCTAGTTTGATGTGTGGCTTAATTGGGTTCTACTGTTGATTCGCGTTGCGCTTTAGGGGTGTTGAAGGGCTCTGCTGGGGGCTCGGGCATGGCTAGCTGGGATGTTGATAGTACGCCTTGTTGTCCCATCCGGGGGGGGGCCTGTTGACGTCTAGAAAAAAATATACCTTTTACCCCCTCCATGGATGCTTAGGGGCCTAGCTTCATCCCTCACGCACCATGGAGAGGCTAGCTTTAGAGGGAACATAGACGGCATATGTCTCTCTTGTCCATGGGTGTAAGATTTCGGGCGTGTCGGAGGTTTGGCATACCGCTCGCTTCCCATTTTATAAAGCACGTGATGCCCTTGAGACTGCACCCGGTGTTGACCAATATTTTTTAGCCACCAACTCTGTCTACTGGTCTATCGGTACGTGCGAGTGCGTCAACGCGTGAGGTGGTTCGTACACTCAAGGCCTGATTCAGTAAGAGAGAGGGAGCACTCGTGACTGGGTTCATCTGGTGCCAACTGTTAGAGGTGTCAAAGCGGCGGAATTGGGGGCCAAAAGAACGTCCGGTCCATTCGGCAAAATTTGAGGGGGGCACGCGGATTTGGTTATTTTTTTAGTTCTTGAGAATCCTGCTGTTGATACTGAATGAACAATACATCAAGTCAACTTGTTTGTGCAGGTAGCTCTGCGTCCAGACAGCAGCATGGCTCTTCATGCGTTACACACACCTGGACACAGGTCCAATAGACGTGACTGTAGGGTAGGTTTTCTCTTAGAGTCAAAGGGTGAACGAACAACACCAAAAAACATGTTGTTGTGGGCTCTTTGCTCCACGCCCAAGGCGACCTTTGCTCCTCTCGTGAAAGCGACCTTACAGCCCTCTACCTTGGATTTATAGCTTTGCACGGGTAGGTTTAGTACAGTAGAGTATGTTTAGTAGAGTATCGAGAATCTGTACTAACGGTATAATAGAGTGNGCAGCATGGCTCTTCATGCGTTACACACACCTGGACACAGGTCCAATAGACGTGACTGTAGGGTAGGTTTTCTCTTAGAGTCAAAGGGTGAACGAACAACACCAAAAAACATGTTGTTGTGGGCTCTTTGCTCCACGCCCAAGGCGACCTTTGCTCCTCTCGTGAAAGCGACCTTACAGCCCTCTACCTTGGATTTATAGCTTTGCACGGGTAGGTTTAGTACAGTAGAGTATGTTTAGTAGAGTATCGAGAATCTGTACTAACGGTATAATAGAGTGGAGTATGAGAGAGGTGAATACTCTACTCACCTGAGTAGAGTACAGAGGTTAGGTACTAAGTTCAAAGAGTATGTTAAGTAGAGTATGAAAAGTCGTACTAAACCGCAAGAGTATGTTGAGTAGAGTATGAAGAGCCATACTATAAAG